TATGACGTCAGTGATAACGCGAAAAAGACACACACTGCGCAACCTTACCGCGCGGCTTGCCCAGGTGGAGGGAGGAGGAGGGAGAGGCGAGAGCACAGGCAGGCAGGCGGGTGGGGCGAATCTAAAAATAGCGTCGCGCCGGACACTCTCCGCGTAATGGGGTTCACACACACACACAGTTGTACCCCACGTTAAAGGTCAATTGAACCCACAGGGTACCGCGTTAAGTGAACAACAGAACATATGGGATTAATTCCAATAGAGACTGGCCTGACCCCCAAACTCCACATTTTGACGACACACAACTATGTTCTAGTAAAAATAACATCTTAATTTTATGATGGTACATGCACACAATTAATACTTAAGAGAAATAGAGAAATACAGTCGCCAAGTTAATGTCCATTCAAATAATGGACTCGACTCCCTCCCCCTCTTCTCACACTACACTGCTGGCTCTTCCCTCTCTGAGAAATTTTTGGGGGAAAACCACTAGATTTTAATAAATAATACCTCAAATTAAAGTTAGGATAATATAATTGACATTGCTGGATTCCTTGTAAGACCAGGAATATTTTGAATATACAGTAAATGTCATATATTTTGCACAAAAGATAACATATTTACTCAGAGTAAACATTATATCTAAAATTTGTATGTCTAATGCAAATTATATTCTCCTTAACTTTAGTCTGAGATATTATATAAGATATAAACTGTAAGCCTAAAACCCAGGCTGGGCAGATGGGGAGAGGGAGGGAGGGAACGTGGGGAGCGGGAGGTGAGGTGATATGATTTAGCGCTGAAGGCTTAGTGAAGTATTTATTTGTTTATTTATTTCGTTTAGTTGAATTTTTGTTTTTTGCTTATAAAATTTCACAGAAGTGACCGTGGAGAATATAATTTACATTGCTGGAATTCTTATAAGATAGTGATTAATTTGAATATAAACAAGCTATAATTTGCAATAGACAAAACAATTTTAGTGCCATACTCAATTTAGTACATATACACTACTTAGGTTATTTATTTCTTTTACGTTTCTTTTAGTATGGTGTGTGCATGTAAATGATTGAAAATAAATTAAGGAATTTATGTAAATCTACCCAAAAAATACAGTTGAAAAACTTTACATTATAAAATGTAATACTGTACTTACTGTCCACTAATGTACTACACTTTTTATCTCTTGTGCAAAATATATGAAGTTTATATTCAAATTATTCACTGTCTTGCAAGGATTCCAGCAATACAAATTATATTCTCCTAACTTTAGTCTGTGATATTATATAAGATAAAAACTTAAAGCCTACTGTATAACTACCAAACCTTTGCTGGGGGAGGGGGGTAGGGAGGGAGGGCTGACAGTGACATGTTTGACAGTTAGCACTGAAGGTCTAGTGAAGAATTTATTTGTTTATTTATGTCGTTTAGATTGAGTTATTGTTTTTTGCTTATAAAATTTCATAGAAATGACCGGGGAGAATATAATTTACATTGCTGGAATTCTTATAAGATAGTGATTAATTTGAATGTAAACATGCAATAGTTTGCACTAGACTGAAATTTTAGTATTCATTTTGGACAAATATTAAAGAGCACAATTTCTTGATATATACTCCACTGGAAATGAATGTAAACGTAGAACAGATTACGTACTGAATTACTGAATTGGCAGACTAGCCCATCAGCTGATGCTCACAACAAAACGTGATGTTCGTAAGGATTTCGTTAATCAAATTTTTGTTCGTTAACCGAATTAAAGATTCTTATGGAAGGTAATTCGTTTACCAAAATTTCGTCAACCGAACCATTCGTTAACCGAGGGACCAATGTTCACACACCTCCAACACACACCCTCCAACTTTTATTATATTATATATTCTCATATGATCAGCCACTTGTGGTGTATGTTTTATCATTGATAATATATTATATTAAATACTGTTCTATAACATCTTGGTAAAATCACACAGGAAAAAGGGAAACAATGGAGCGAGCACCTTAGCTTTTGTCTTTATTCAAGACATCTTCAGAGGCAACTGAATTACAAGGACTGAGACTGAGAGAGAGGCTTATGTACACAGGGTGACCTTACAAAACATGAGGTCAGGTCAAACACATGACATCCACTAATCTACATACCACCACCACCATCGCAAACATAAGAGGAACTTATAAGAATGGGCGACGTAACTAGTCATGTTAAGTCAGGTAAAAAAATATGAGACCCACTAATCATTTATCCTACATCTACCTCGAATACTTTCAAAGCATTTTTAACCTTGGGCCACTGACAAATAAATTTGTGTAACATATTATCAGTTTTGTACTGACCATCACTAAGGTTTATAGAATTTAATTCCCTAATCAAACTAGCTTCAACTTGAAGTCTTTCTGTGACACATGATGATTTATACACTTCTAAACTGTTTTCCCAGTCTAGGGAATGATTATTGTTCCTTCTATAAACTGTGCTATTACATGTATAAAAAAAAAAACGAAATATTGCTTCATGTTCCAGGGTCCTCATGTATTGGAGGTTTGGGGAGGGAGGGAACTGACCGCACACCCCCCAAAAAGGTCCTGCCTCTCCCCTACTCCTCCCATGTCTGCCATTCCTATTGTAAAATGTTTTACTTTGTTTTTTATTTTTTAATTAATATAGATATGTTTACTGTAATAATTTGTGCTTAATGTGTTTAAAATTTTATATTAACCTTGATGAAACATACACATTAAGAGGCTGATCATTGGTGAAAAGGGGGAGTGCCAGCCTCCTTGCCTTCCCCTTACTCCACCTTGCCTCCCTGCCTCCCCCTTGCCTACTCCCTACCTTCCTCCAACTCAGTGTCTTACACAAAAGACTATAAACTAGATGTTGTGTGTGTGTATGATGTGGTGTTGGGGTATTAGTTAATAATAAATAAACAATATTGTATTGCTAATGACAGTACAGTAGTTTGGTGAATAGTAGTGACAATTGTAGTACTGCACGCTGCTATTCATCAAACGACTGTCATTGACGATACAATACGTATTGCTTATTTATTACTTAATACCACAACATCTCTCCCACACACCCCTTTTTTTGGATGACATAAATTTATGTATGGTTAACTATGTGTTGGTGAATTAAAAGATCAGCTCTTGAGGAGCTTAGGGCTTGGCAACACTGGTGCATGTTACCACTCCTTTCCACTCCATCTTTCTAATCACCCACACCTTTCTCAATTCATATTTTAAAATGTTGTGTAATGTAATGTTGAAGAGATACAACTTTGCTCATTTATAATCAGGGCTGTGGAGTCGAAGACAAAACCTTCGACTCCGACTCCTCAAATTTTTATGCTTCCGACTCCGACTCCTTGGCCTATTTGTAACAACTATTTCTACCATCCTAATTGTAATTTGTATGTTGTAACCTGCATAGGTAAAAAGTAAAACACCGTGGCTATACTGCTACAGCTTTATTAATGATCTGGACGATATTTAAGAACTACAAAAAGATGATAGGCTTGACTTTCAAAGTTTCAATCAAAAGAAAAATAAATTTATTAATAATTCAAGATATTAACTAGAAAACACCATTTACATGTATATCTAAAAGTTCGATCTCAGCATATGAATTTTGTTTAAGCTCATAATCTGATGTGGATCTAAATGATGATCCTACAATTCCTTTTAAAGTAAAGTTATATATTTATGTACATTAAAGAAATGAATACCTTATTAAGGAAAATGGATAAACCTTACATGATTAAGTTATTAAATTAAATTTGCCTTAATCTCACCAAAAACAGGTTGTAGCTAATTGTTTTGTAGCTGAGAGCCTCTGTGCAGTTTTCAACGAAACAAAATTTGATATAATTCAAAATTTCAAATGGTAAAGAAGAGACTATCGTCCAAAATTATAGTGCTATACTGTGCCTGCTACAATAAATTCATAATAATGCTTATAAAATGGAAATAAATTCTTTTAATAATTTAAGAAAATTAGTGGGATCAGTGGAATCACTGCAATGAATATGCCTGAGTTCATATATTTGTTCTTAGGAACAGAATAGCTTCAGTCGGAGTCGGAGTCTGGACAATTTTACCGACTCCGACTCCGACTCCACAAGCCGAAATTTCCTCCGACTCCTCGACTCCGACTCCGACTCCACAGCCCTGTTTATAATTATACTTACCACAATCTCCCTAAAAATACTTTAGGTTTCGTGTTTATTCAAGACATCTTCAGGTCATGAGACCCACTAATCCCCCAACCAAGAAAGGGTGACCTGACATTCCATCAGATGGTCAGTAATATGAGACCACTAATCCCCCACCCTACCTCCACCTGACACTGAGTCAAGTCAGGCCCCCCCCCCCCCCCCCCCCCAAAAAAATACTTCGGGAAATTTGCCTCTAAAGCCGGAATTTTTTGAAAAATTCCAGTTTTGGGAATGATTTTCTGAGCAAATTTCAATTCCGCCTATTGGAGATTTCCGGGTTTGAGGGATTCCAGCTAACGGAGATATTACTGCACTCAGCCACTCCTCGACTTACGACCACCCGGACATACGTCGTACCAAAAAATTTTCAAATTACATATTTTCGAGTCCCGACGTTAGTGATTGCGCTGTGTACTGACAAAATTTTCGTTTGTAATTCCCTCTAAAATGGCTGGCATGCTTAAAAGTGAGAGTTTTGTGGTGCTGAGAAGAAAAAGAGACACTCATTTTAGATTTTCTATGTATTATCTTTGCATTTTCGACTTACGACCAATTCGACTTACTGTACGACCTGGATTTGGGTCCCTAACCCAGTCGTAAGTCAAGGAGTGGCTGTATATATAAAATATCTGATGAAATGAACAACACTTACTGAATACTGTACAGTAACCTGGGGACCTCCAGTATATACAGTATGTATTAATGTAGCTCATTGATGTTTATTTTTGTAAAAAAATACAGTGTATATATATATATACATATTGTTTTTCTCTCTCTCAACAGGTCTGATGGAACATTGGTCCCCATGGGACCCGGTGAACAAACAGAAATAAAAAATTCCAGGGGCTATACACTCATGTACAACGAATACATAGTTTATGATCCTGCTCAAGTGCGAACAAGATTTCTTCTCAAAATCAAATTCAATTTCAAATATTAGTTCCTATTCATGACTGAACTTTTGTGTGCTAACCTTTATTTTATATACTTTTGACAGGCACAACAAATATCAAGTACAGAGAGCCCCAATTTTTACTCTGTGATTACTGCCCACCACTTAAATGCAGTTTTCAGTGTACCTTGTAGACACAAATGTTTGTTTTGATATTTTTTTGTATTTTTTATCCTCTTCACCATTGATCGGCTCGTTAGCCGCTTGGGCGCTCGGTCACGTCTCTGTTGGCAAATACTGGGCATGCACTGGCTCCTTAATGTATCTGAACCTGCTCCTGTGCTGGTCAAGTCTAGTCTTGAAAGAGCTCACGCTCGGTGTCGTCACAACACACTCTGGCAGGTTGTTCCACGAGTTCACAACTCTCACTCCTAAAAAGTTAACCCTCACAGTTTTTCTGGACTTGCAGCTTCTTTAACCTTGAGCTGTGACCCCTTGTAGGGCGAGCGTTTGCCAGCTCCAGGTATCGAACTCGACTGAGTAGTCCCCTTTCAGATGTTTATACACCTCAGTTAGGTCCTACTCTCGATTTAACGGAATCCAATATAATGAACTCTTGATTTAGCGGAAGGAATTTTTTCCGTTATTTTTCACTCGATTTAGTGAATAGTTTGCTAAATCGAGATTAATTCCGTTCATAAGCTCTCACCTACGGAGACACCTCAGACACATGATATGTACATAGAAACATTATTCATGGCTTACCTTGAACTAGGGGGTTTGGTGTTTGTTCTAAATTTTATCTATAATTCCCAAACTTTTTACCAATATATAGCTGCACTCTTTTTACTTTCTCCTCCACACCACTTCCTTTCTGCCACTTCTGAGAGATTTTCAGCATGATATCTAAGCACAGTAGTTAGTTGACTGAGAGGTAGCAGTGAACAACACATGGTGGCAGCAAGGACACAGACTGGGCGGATGAAAACAAACCCCAAGCGGAACATTTGGTGTGGAATTTATCATAATCACGCTCGATTTAGTGAACTAGTTTTCTAAATTGAGTGAAAATAACGGAATCAATTTAGCTGAAATTTCAATTTAGCGTTAACCCTTGGCCCCGGGTGACGTTCCAGAACGTCCGCCTATTTTCCCGCCATTTTTTTTTTTTTAATTAATTTTGGAAATGTTGATTTTTTTTTCGATTTAGTCCCGTGTGGGGGGTACTGCCAGCATCACCCTAACCTGAGGGTTAAGGGGTGGATCGAATTTGTTTGTTAAATCGAGAAAATACTGTATCAGCTAGGCACTTGCCGGCGCTGTATTCTCTCTGGGTAGCTGAGGTGCCATAGTGCAGGCACCAGTCTGGTGGCTCTCCTTTGGACATTTTCAATCAACTGACGGTCCCTAGTATATTGCGGGGACCAGACGAGGTGACAGAACTCCAAGCGGGGAAGCACCTCACTCTTGAAGATCATAACAAGGGACAGACCATGTAGATATCTGAACGACCTTCTTATACGACCTAATAATATAACATAGTTTCTTGTTTCACCTTCTTCTCACAATGGCCCGAGAACTTCAGTTCATTGTCAACATACACACCCAGGTTCTTTTTGCATATATTTTTTTCTTAGAATGTAATGTTTTTCACTGCTTTTTTTTTGTATTGTGAGTCACTATAAAAATTCATCAGTAGCCAATATCAATTTGATATTTCCTAAATCCAAGGGAAGAATCCTCATTTAATCATCTCCAGCTTCCAGAATCCTTCACATTTTTGTATTAAGGAAACTTACATGTTTTTGAGGAGGTGGATTACCTGAACACATTGTATTGGAAACAGGTCAAATTAGGACCTTGACATTGTTCACAGCGCTCACAAAAGTTTTATGTGATATATTTTAACAATTATTTGCCTTAGATACATTTGTTAAACATTTGATAACTCTTCATTTTAAGAAATTTAACTTCATAAGTTATTTAATGTCCTTAAAATTCATTGGGGTCGGTGTGTTGAAGCAACTTAGGTTGTGCCAGCTGGTGCACACTCACCCCAGCGGTTCATTGAGACAAAATACTTCAAAGGTAGAGATGTTTGGCTTGATGGGATTGATGGAGGTGGGTATTGAGAGAGGGGGATTAGTTGGAGGATGAGAGAGATACAGGACAAGGTTGATTGTCCACTCCCATTCTTCTTTTGCCTAATCATTTCTAATTTTACATCTATACTATAGCTACTGAAGTGTGCTTCCTTTTGAGTGCTGCACCACCCTGTTTGGGTTGCAAACTCATGGCGACAGATATGATACAATAATTCACCACAACATGCACGAAAAGACACGACAAAGGCAGGAGTAAACACAACACCTTACTGATCTGGATGAAACAAAGCGGGAGAATGGCGCGAGACACGTGTGCATGCATGATGCCAGTAGGAGGATGAAATTTCAAACGCTTCAGCTAAAATTCCCTAGATTTTATCAGGAGCTTTTGAGTGAAATCCACTTAAATGTTGGAACTTTTTAAGTGGATGGTCACTAAAAGTTGACTACTTAACTGCAAACCTACGGATAGTGAATGCTCTAATAACGAGGACCTCCTGTGCATTTAATTACTAATTTTCAAAAAGTAAACACTTGCCAGCACTGCAGGCGAAGAATGAAGCATTGCAGCAGGCGAGAGGCATGGTAGGTAACTCACGGGAATGGTAGGTAACGCAGGGGAATAGTATGCGATGGAGGGGAACGCTACATAAACAGTCAACGGTGTGGCACTTGTGTGTTCTACTGTAATTTGGTCACTTATACAAAATAAAGAAAATTTTAACAAAAATAATTGTTTTCTTTACATATAATTCAAGTCTGAGTATGTAAATAAACACATAACTTACAACACTAAGGATATTATAATCCTAGTAAAACCATTTTCTATTACAGAGCAAAAGAGTAAAATTCAAACACTCTATGTAGCTTAGAAGCAAAGAAAATATAAAACTATAAAATAAGAACAATGAAGAGCTAAGGTGTGTAATAATAATAATAATAATTAGCAGTTTATTGAAAGAGCATGGGAGCCGGGAGGTTGAAAATGTACAGTTATATAATTGGGGAATGGGTCTCTTGATTGACAAATAATATACTGTATACAGTAAAATAAGTGATAAAAATATGGTATATAATAACTAGGTGGGGAGAAGGTTATACAGGTTCACAATCCCTTATCCGAAATCCTTGGGACCAAATGCATTTTGGTTTTCGGAATTTTTCGGATTTCAGAATTTTTTTTTTTTTTTTTTACAGGGTTCAGACCACCCGGGCACAGGTGACAATAGCTTAAAAAATACCCTAAGACATTCTTGGGTACATCCAGGGTATCATCAGTGAATAATTGAGGTCTGTTGAAATACCCCGTAGTACAGGTTGACAACCCTTTATCCGAAATTTCGAAAACCGAAAAGCTCTGAAAACCGTTTTTTTTTTTTTACACGGGTATTAGCCCACCCGGGCACAGGTCACTGACCCACATCAGGGCCTGGGGGTTAAAATATAATAATAATAATAATAATAATAATTTATAGGTCTAGGTCATGTTTCTTACTTTTTATCCTTTTTTTCATTCTTGTATTTCTTTATTATTATTATTTTATTATTACAGTATTATTGCTATTAGTATTATGAATTTTATTATTATTATTTTATTATTATTATTTTTGTTATTCTTATTTTATTTTTGTGTATTTTTTATTAACATTTTTATTTACTATGAATAATTATTATTATTAATATAATTATTATTATTATTACATTTTCACCCCCCAGGCCCCGATGTGGGTCAGTGACCTGTGCCCGGGTGGGCTAATACCCGTGTAAAAAAAAAAAAAAATCGGTTTTCAGAGCTTTTTGGTTTTCGAAATTTCGGATAAAGGGTTGTCAACCTGTACTATGGGGTATTTCAACAGACCTCAATTATTCACTGATGATACCCTGGATGTACCCAAGAGGGTATTTTTTAAGCTATTGTCATTTTCGTGGCCAGGACCGGGAGCCATCCGTTCTAGAGAGTAATTTTTTTACCTGTATTGTATATGTGTGTATGTTTGAAGACACACACACAAAACATACAAATAAATAATATGCGAGAATTCTCTCAAATAATCAGAAACAAGACAAAGTGCATGCTTTGTTATAATTTCAGTAACAAAGCATGGAGTTGACTTGATTGTAGACACATTTTTAATACATTTTGATTTGTTTCTGATTATATATATATATATATATATATATATATATATATATATATATATATATATATATATATATATATATATATATATATATATATATATATATATATATATATATATATATATATATCAACGACCTCACCAGCAAGGAATCGAACCCTCGACCTACTGGGTGGGACTAGGGAACGCTTACCGGCTAGCCCACAAGGACACTAAAAGCAGTTCTAGACTCTGTTATATTTCACACAAAGCCTGTTCATCGAGCTGATGGCGCCGTGAAATTACGTTAACCGAGGTGTTCGTTAAAGGATCTTCAATTCGTTTAACGAAAAAAAATTCGGTTAACGAAGTTCTTACGAACCGACCTCAACATGTTTTCGCTTGCACTGACCGGGCACCAGCTTTAGTATCAGTCCGCCAATACATTAATCGGTTCTAGGGCTTAAATTCCTTACTATTTTTGTAAATATCAAGAAGTTTATACTATTCAATAATTTTAAAAGTTTAATATTCAATTTTTAGTCATTTTAACAATTATTGAACATAATTGAAGGTAAAGTGACTAGTTTAATGCGCGGCATCCAGCCTCTTAACACAGCAAACAGGCGTCAGTCTCTCTCTGTTTTCACTGGAGGTAACATCTTGCTTGAGACTCTCTTCAACTAAACGCTTTTTTTCTGTGTTTCCAAGCAAATTATTGGTCATTTTGAAAATTATTTTACATATTGACAATATATAGTGCAGTGCAGTGTTACTTTAAAGAAAATATTCTTTATTTACAGCTAGTTTAACTTTGAAAAATACGTGTTGCCATTGTTTGAATCCAGCATGGGGCCTAAGAGATCAAGAAAAGCGATTTCAATCCAAATAAAGCAGGAAATAATAAAAAAACACGAACAAGGTATTAAATCAAATGCGCTATGCAAAGAATATGGCATGTCGGCATCAACTGTGTCGACAATTCTTGCA